TATCAAGCTCAGCCACAAACAAATTAACAATCTCATGTAAACAAGCATACTTGTAATGATGCATGTTCGTTATACTCGGTGCCCTGCGTTTCGATCTTTTTCCTTTGATGTAGTTCTGATCCATTGAAGGCACATCTATATGAAATTTGTTACAAAAAGTAACAACCTCATCAAACAAAGCACCCCATCCAATATCTATTTTCATTGCCGCTAAACGTTGTTTGACAACTGTGACTAGTTTCAAAGCATTCACAAGATCTTGTTCACGCCTTTGCAATGCCTGTGAAAGATCATGTGTAATGGCCAAAACATTGATCATCAAATGAAGCATGAAACAAAATTCAAAAGTTTGCAATTCATTCAACAATGAAGTGGCTTCACCACTTTTATCATGGTCTTCCGAATCTTCGAGCACCTCAATCACAGATTTAAATAATTTTTGCAAATTAAGCAATGATTTGTAATGAGAACTCCATCGTGTATCACCTGCTCTGACAAGTGCTAACTGTTGATTCAATCCTCTTCCTGTTTTTACTAGTCCAGCTTCTAAAGCACTTATCAAATCACCTTCTTGTTTATCTCGAAGGCATTCTTGTCGCTTATTTGATGAGCAGATCTCATTAATTACACGACTAACATGAAGAAGTAACCAATTAAACTCATGTTGTCCTTTAACAGCGGCACCAAGTGACAATTGCAATTGATGAGCTAAACAATGGACATAATATGCATAGGGATTTTCATTTTGAATTAGAGTTTTCAATCCACCAAACTTACCCCGCATATTACTCGCTCCGTCATAGCCTTGTCCTCTTATGTTTGAGATGCACAGACCATATTGTGTTAGAATGTTCTCAAGAGATTCTTTAAGAGATGATGCAACTGTGTCTTTTACATGAACAAGACCAATAAATCTCTCCAAAACAGAACCATTACTAGCAACAAAACGGACAACAATAGCCATTTGTTCTTTACCAGAAACATCCCCTGATTCATCAACTAATATAGCAAAAACATCATCTCTCATTTGCTTAATAATTTCATGAACAGTTAGAAATGCACAAGCATAACACAAGTCCTTTTGAATTTTTGGTGAAGTCATCTGATTGTTTTGTGGAGCATTTTTTAGGACTCTATCTATCTCAGAATCATGTTGTCTCAAAAGATCTAAAGTCTCAAGAAAATGACCTTTATAAATAGACTCTATTGATTCGTCATGACCTCGAAATGGCAAACCCCCACAAAGAAGAAATCTAGTGCACTCAAGTGATGCCTTCAAGCGAATAAGGTAATCAGACTTTGCTTGTTCAGATTGTTTCACAAAACATGCTCCAATACTTTGTTTTTGGTTCATCAAATCTCCTAATCTTTTCACCGCATTGTAATGAGGACAGTTAGGTTTACCAACATGTAAATAGAATCTATCTTTTTTATTCCATGCTGAAAACCCAATTCCCACAAAATGATCACCCCCAACTTCCCACTCATTCTTAAACAAATAACATGGCAAACAAAATGCAGCATCTTTAGCAATACTGTATTCCAACCATTTATGCTCATCAAACCAACTTGAAACAAATCTACGTTTTTTGCCTCCAATTAACTTAAAAGGGAAATCGTGGTCCCGAGGTTGAAACGGTCCTTTTTGAATGTAACTACGACGTACCTCGTCTTGAACATTAGGGTGAAAATCAGCAATTCTTTTTCTCAATCCAGGATCAGCTTCCAAAGATTCAAAATCCTCATGTTGTTCAGGTAGATTATAAGCCAAATTAGCTTCACTTTCAGCAATTACTTGATCCAATTCTTCATTTAGTAATGGCGGATCATTTGAATTAACACCCGAACTACTCCCGGTACTTTGAGTTTCTTTAAATTTGGGTACAACATCAAAATATCTTTTCATCCTAAATCGTATAAAATTGAAAATAACATTTATAAATACATGAATTTAATAATTTAATCTAACATTAAAAAAAGATATGCAAAAAAAAGAAATTAAAAGCAATTTAAACATAGAAATTGAAATTTGAAATCCCTAATCTTTGAGCACATAGAAAATCCAACAAAAAGCTTGAGATTTGAGAAACTCCATTAATGGAGAAAAGAAAAGAAAGTACCTTGGGCAGTTGGGCTTCGGCAGTTCGGACTTCGGACTTCGGCCGCAGGGGACGCAGGCGCCAGGTCGGCAGACGGCAGGGAGAGGGAGGCCGCAGGGGACGCAGCCACGTAGGGAGCTTCGGGCTTCGGCCGCTTCGCAAATCACAGAATTGGCGGTCGGCGACTTGGGGCCAGTTGGGGGCTTGGGGCTGCCGGCTGCGTGAAAGCGAGGAAGGAAAAGGGGGCCGCTGGTTGCGTGAAAGGAAAAGGGGTTGCTGGGTTGGGTCTTTTGTTTTGGGTTTAAGTTGGGTTGTGGCTTTCCTTAAAGACAAAAAAAAAGGCCCAAAAAAAATAATTCAGAGATGGGATTCGAACATGATACCTCGTGTATCGTATACCTTGCTTCCAGACGTGTTCCCATTCGACTGTAACATCTTTATTGTTTTTAAGTTGTTTTGTGTTTATATATACATTGAATAAGTAATTTTAAATAATATATATATATAATATTTATAGGGTTTTTTCCCGAGGTCCACGGGTCCCGGGACCCCTTGGGACCCTTAGTGGGTCCGCCACTGCTTGTAGAGTGACTTGTAGTTAGAGAAAGACTAAAAAGAAAAAAATGTAGGCAAGGTTGAAAAATATACAGAAATTTAATATAAGAAGCATCATATTTGCAGAAATAAAAATAAACAATATAATACGTAAATCGACTATATTTGTTGATTATGCTGAAATTTATGAAGTTCTGGCTGGAGCGGCTCATTATGCTGATTTATGATAAAAATTATATTTAAAATATATTTTATTAATAAAATAATGAAAAACTATATGAGAAAATACTTAAAATGATCATCTATGGTAACTTCAGTCAATACAGAAAAGTAATTTCAACCTTACATTTTCTTATTGTTACACAATGCATCGCTCAAAATAAAAATTATGTATTTGATGAAAAAGTTGTTTGATAAGCCGAAAAATTATGTATATGTTTTACTTTCTTATTTTTCCATGATCTTGAAATTTTTCTCCGATCTACGGTATGAGTAGACAAGAATAATGACTTCAGCTGGACGTTGTGCTTGCAGCTAGCATTGTATAGAAAAGTTGCCAAAAAGATAAAAAATGTGTATTTAAGTTATTAGCTAAATGGGATATTTGAATAACATTCAATTTAAAGTTTACTCGCCAACAGTTAATCATGTAACTAATACTCCGTAACAATTTAGAAACTTCTTGAGAAAGTACATTTTTTGATAAAAATTTCGACATTGTCTATTTCTGTATACTCTAAATTATTATTTTTAGAAAGTGTACTTTTCCCTAAAAAATTGTAATATTAATTATAAAATCAAATTTACAAATGAATAAAGTTATATGACTAATATCAAGCACAAAAATTGACTTGCTTTATATGTAGAATGCATTGGAGTATCTTCCGATTCCAAAAACTCGTTTCTTATTGCACCAGTCACTTCAAAATACAGAGAGTACATTTTAGACAATACAACTTTTGCCGCCTTAGATAACCCAATTAGCGCTTTCGATGACTGAGTGTGTTCACTTTCAGCTTCATGAAAAGTGTTGCACAACATGTCAATAGCCTCATGTGCATACATCATACAAAATGATAAAAGTCACTCCACAATCCAAATTGCATAATACTTACTCAGTTCTTAAATAAGTGCAATAGTCAACATTTCACACTTGTCGAGATACAATTTTGACCATTAATATATATAATTCTATATTAGTAAAAAAATTTAAAAAATTAGTTTTTGAAAATTTACAATGAGACAAATTTAATAATATATTTTTCAAAAATATATATTAATACATCAATAAATAAAATGTAGTCAAACTAGAATAGTGTAAAATTTCACATGTTGCATTTATTTAAGAACAAAGGTACTTCCTACTGTATAACATCACAGTAATTCCTACTGTATAACATCACAGTAATTCAACAGATTAAACAACTTTTATTTTAACTCAAAGATAGGCTTCTACTTCAGCTCAAAGATGAACTGAAATTGTAACTATTTCAGACAAAGTTGAACAATTACACAATAACTGAGAAACTATGAATTGCGATTTGCGAATGAATATTAAAACTGCGATGTATTATTCTTATTTTGTAAAGCATGCAGCTACTGCTCTCTTTATACCCGAGGAGAATCGATTACGTAGGTTAGCCATTGCATCAACCTGGGAGCATTATTAGCCGATCTGGTACATCAATACATGTTCTTATGCCTATTCCAAGACACTTAGAAGAAGAATCTTAAGGGAACACAACTAAAATATAATACCAAATAAAATACATCGTAATAATAACACCAAATCATTAGCTACATAATCAAGTTGTATATTTTCCACCATCCAAATCACATAAGTACTCACATTAAATTCAGATAATCACAAACAAAGAAACATTGCAAAGTAAAAAGTTAAAAAAGAATCGCATACCATAACTTTTGAATGGGAAGAATGATCAATTAGCTCTCCATTTTTCCTTTTCTTGGGATGGAACGTCTCAATGTCTCACAAAGTTTGAAGGGATTTATGTGTTCACCGGTACTCTCAACTAAAACGAAATGCAAACAGTCATGCAAGTATTAAACTTTTATAATAAAAATTACGCTTATTATAATAATTGTTATCCAAATGCAACAATGAAACACAGGCTGCATATGAGCAACTAATAATTGTTTAATCTCAGATTAAACTATTCTAATTGTTGAATGTATTGGGAATCGAACAATCAAGAATCGAAAATGGATTAGCAGATGTAGAATAGCAAACAGTTGGAATGTAATTGATTCAATATTCTTCGAATACGAAATGATAGTGCAGGTATGTGATTTGCTTTGAGCTTCTCTATTTATCATGATCCTGTGCCCAAATCATAACTGAAACAAACAATAACTCTTGCACATTAATTCATCACTTATGCTATACGTTTCTTCCATTTTTATCTCTAATTCGAATTGTTGCCTTTATTACATAGTCAACTATTATACCTAGTGGGTCGGACGTTTCTATCAATAAAATACTACGGCCCAATGGGCTAGTTATTTCTCGGGCCCAACATTTGGCCCCAATTCATGATGGAGATGGCGCGCAGAACGAGTATATTCATCATGAATTTGAACACTCGTCAACTGTTCCCCATAGATACACTCAGCCGTCTGTTTCTCTGATTGAGCCGCCCCTTCCTCTCTTTCCTTGTTGAACTCACCGTTCTTCGTCTGCAATCTGCCATACCGTCTTCCTCACTTGCTTTCAAGCTCCCTTTCGCCCATGGATCACATTGTCTTCAAGAGTCAGGGTGCCTTTGAGGCTAAGAACTTGCGTGCCGGTGACATTAGGGCCAGGGATAAGGAAGAGATCGAGTCTGCCTATGGTTTTCCTCCTTTCTTTCGAATCCACTACCCTCGCCGATCTGAGCGGGTGGATTGGACATGCCCGGGTTGAGTTTCCTTCTTCCAATACTCATTCAAAGAAGCTTGGGGTTCAGTACCCTTTCTCCGAACTTGTGAGTGGATTTCTAGCCCTACCTCAGGTCTCGCCTTGTCAAGTCATGCCTCAAACTTGGCGTTTACTTCGGTCCCTGGAGGTTTTAATTGAGAAGAATGGGTTGAAATTTACCTCTCGTGACCTCGTTCTCACATACGACCTTCGTACCTCCGGGAAGAGCCGCTTTATCTTGACCCTCAAAACTGGTAGGAACCCGTTGATACTCGGGATTAGCAATGCAAACGATCGAGGTTGGATGGAGAAATTCTTCTTTGTGGAGAGGGCCTCACTGGGCGAGCATGGGAATGGCCTGATGGACAGCCTGAGGATATCTGGTATGTATTTCGTCTCCCAGTCATGAACATGTCTGCCCTTTATTTTCCCCCTTTTTTGTCAATTCAATTGTTATTTCGTTTCCGTACCTTGCCAGGAGACACGAAAACCTTCCCCTTGAAAGTCGATCAGGGTGCTGAGGAGAGGACTGATACCCTTCTGGCCTTGGATCGTGAAACCCGACTTTATTCTTCCCTCAAACCGTCATTTCGAGGTACAGACTCTACTTCCTTTTCTATTAGTCCCATTCATGTTGGGTTGAGGCGATCTACTCGGGTTATGTCTAAGTCCCCGGGTTTGTCCTAAGATGCATCAGTTATTGCTAATGATAGTTCAGAAAAAGATGAAGATGATACCCTTAGCATTACTGGCGATGCATCTACTCCACTTGCTACGGATGAATGCGCTTTTGCATCGCGTACTCCAATTGGTGCAGCCCCTCCAGTTCCTGTTGTTGGTGAGTTTCCATTTTTTGTCTGTTATCCATCCTGGTTGTTTAAGTCCTCAATATGTAACATTTCATTTGATACTATTTTCAGACATTTCATCTTCTTCCACAGTCCGTAAGGCTCTAAACCCGACCGAGCTATTGAATTTGACTTCTAAAAGGAAGAAAATGATGCCCCCTCTCCCTCCTGTGTGCGGCCCTTCTAATGTAACCACCCGTTCTATACCTCCTTCTTCTTCGAAATCCGATTTGAAAGCGGGCCCTGTGGGACGTACCTTAATAAAGGCTTAGTTTTCTGCTGACTTTTGCCGTTTAGACAACACCTTGCACATGATAAATGAGATGCCACAGGTACTTTTTCCCTCCACCCTCGAAGTCTTCTCTGCTTTTGGAGAAGTGGAACTATTGACAGCGTTTTCGGCACTTGCATTCCAGGTAAAGGTGTAATCTGTGGTTTGGCTTGTATTTTAGTTGTCTTCGGCTATCAGGATGACCAAGGGTTGGATATTTGTTTTAGATTGTTCAAGCTAGCCTTGCAGCGTCCAAGTGTGTGGAGGCTTTGAAGGCCGAATTGTCAGCATCCAGAAAGCGTGAAGAGGAGGCGAAGGAAGAGCTATGAGAGGTAGCTCAGTTGAAGCTCAGGTTGGAGGAGAAGGTAGTCTTCCAGGACCAGAAGACCGAAGCTTTGACTACAGAGGTGAAGACGAAGGCGTCCAGGATCAAGTTGTTGGAGGAATATGGGAGGAAGAAACGGCAGGAAGTGGTGGATGCTGTTGGATACTACACTTGGCAGACAAGGACATATATAATGGCAGAGTATCTTGCAGGCGAAGCGAGCAATTGGAACCCCCGGGAGGACATCGACACCTAGGCTGAGCACTACGAGTGGATGGAGCCTCCTGTTGGTGATGATGGTTTTGACCTTGATGTTTGTGACAATGAAGCTACTTCTGAAGCTACTCCTTGATCCTGATTTATGTTCAAGTTAGCTATCTTTGGACAACTGCTTCAAACTCTCATTTTATTTTATTTTTTGGACAACATTCAACCACGTCGACCGGTGGTTTATCCGGTGTCCGGTGGCTTATTGCTATTACTGCTGCCTTCGAGTTGGTACTCTGACATTTTGGGGTTTGGCTTCTTTTGTGTGCATGTGCAGTTGTGTTCACCTGTTTGTGCCTGTGCATTACCTTTGTTTGTAGACTGTATGTATATCTATTGTTTTGGCCAAAAACGTGTAAGGCGCATGGGTTTGCTTTCCATATCTAAGATATGAATGACTCAAGCAGAGCTTACTATCCCTTTGTGTAGCAGGGGAATGTGCATATGTGCCCTCAGTAGGCGTCTCTAGTGCTTATAGCTGCTTGCGTCGATTTGTTTTTTTTTGTCGACATCCTGCATGTAATCATGTCGTTGGAGCCTGGCCATTGGCTTTTGGCCAATGGCCTTCCGATGCTTAAGTTAGTGAATTAAGTATTTGATCAAGCAAACGATTTTCACGAAATCACTTCAATTTTTAGAAAAATGGTTGTTAACTAGACAACATTGGATATTAAACAAATTTAGGAAAGTACCTAGTTACAAAAGTTATTGACAGTAGACTCTTCGTTTAGAAGATACCTGTAATGCTTCGTTCCCTCCTCCCTTTTTTTTCTTTTTCACGTATATTGTTCGCGGTCGACATCTGTTTTTTTTTTGGCTAAGTCGGCCGTTGGCTTGAGGCCAACGGCCCTCCGACAATCAAGTTAGTAAAGGGGGAAAGATAATTTCTATTGCGTAAAATTAAATTAGAAATGAAAGGGTTTTAGATGTACCACATTCCAGCTCCTCGGGAATTGCTTACTGTCGGCGGACTCTAGACGATATGCCCCCTGTCCGATGGTGTCGAAGATCTGGTAGGGGCCTTCCCAATTGGGACTGAATTTACCACTAGTTTCGTTGCCGAATGACTTCCTGAGCACCTAATCGCCTTTCTTGAATATTCTGGCCCGAAAGTGCTTGTTGTATCTTCTTGCCACCTTTTGTTGATATGCCGCCATCTGTATTCTTGTCTTTTACCTTAATTCGTCGATGGTGTCAAGATCATGCATGCACTAACTCCACGTTGTTCCTTTCTTCTGTTATGAGTTCGTACCTTGATGATGGGACTTCTACTTCAATTGGGATGATTGCCTCGCAGCCATATACCAGGAAGAAAGGTGTTTGACCAGTCGCATTTTTTGGTGTCGTCCTGTCTGCCCACAAAATCAGCGGCGGAACCAGAACTTTTTTCGAGCAGGTGCCGAGGAATGTATCAAATAAATACATCATAATAAATTTAGAAAAAAAACACATATGATTGTCTAAATTAAGTGTCGTAAAGCTTAATGTTACATATAAGTCCAAAACTAACTACTCTGGGAAATTAGGGGAGATAATTGTGTCCTGCGAGTTCGCATCTGTTGAAAGCGTTGCAAAATTGCTTCATTTTCAATGGTTGCAAAAATCTCTTTCTCGATATATACAACCAAGCTATCAATCATCCATTCATCTCCCATCCTATTGCGCAAATCAGTCTTGATAATTTTCATAGCAAAGAAGACTCTTTCTACTGAAGCAGTTGCAACCGGTAAAACCAAAGCTAACTCAATAAGATGGTATACCAATGAAAAAACCTTGTTCATTCCAGTTTGAACCATTTGCTTGGCAAGACATCCTAAATCATCAACCGTAGAAAATTGATCATGATCCCGGACGGTATGAATATAAGTCTGAAGTTGTTGCTTGAGTAAAACACGATCAGTACATGAAAAGTCCTCCGGATAAAGTTCAGCCATGCGGAGTAATTTGTCAATGTCAAAATGACAAAAAGAGTTTCTTGGATCAAGACATGCAATACAACTCAACAACTCCGTACTTGCTTCAGGAAAACGATTGCTCATCTCTGAAATCATCTTATCAAGAACCTATCACACCATAAAGACAACATTATTGAGCAAAAGTATTATTATCAATTTATAATAAAAGAAGATGTAAAATAATTATACCTCACAAAATATTCCCCCACGAAAGTGGATCAAATTCGAAATTGTCTCTCCATTTCGCCTACTACGACCACGAACTTTCACATGTTCTTCCATATTAGATAATGGAATCTTTTGATTTTCACAAAAAAGATTCACTTCCTTGAAGAGATTATCCCATCCATTATCTCGAAATTCTTGTAACTAGGCCTTCATTGTACTAATCAAATGAATAGCCAAGACAATATTTTGATCTTTTTGTTGCAAGGCAAGAGACAATTCATTTGTGATTCCAAGTAGATATATCATCAAGTGCATCACAAATACAAATTCATAATTCTCCATCTTATCAATTAAACTTGAAGCTATTCCTCGCTCTTCATTAGCACCATCCTCATACACATTCTCAAGAGCTTTTAATACGGAACTCCACACAGACATCAAGCGAATAATAGTAATGTAATGTGATCCCCAACGAGTATCTCCTGACCTTTTCAAACTAACTTCTTGATTTTTCCCCTTGCCACTTACAATCTCCCCACTTTCCAAACTTTCTAGAAGCCTCTCATGTTCTATTTGTCTAAGTCTATCTCTTCTTTTACATGAAGCCCCGGTAACATTCACAATCATAGTGACATATTGAAAAAAGTCACACACAATTCTATTACACTTAGCAACAACAACAACAACTAGTTGGAGTTGGTGTGAAAAGCAATGGACATACCTTGCGGCTGAATTTTCTTTCAAGATGAGAGCGTTCAATCCATTATACTCACATCGCATATTAGAAGCTCCATCGTATCCTTGACCTCTTAATCTTGATATTGACAATTTATGTTTTGCAAACAAGTCATCAATATAGTTCTTTAAAGAAAGCGCCGAAGTGTCATTGACATGCACCATAGCAAGAAAACGTTCAATGACATGTCCAAATTTGTTCACATATCTCACAACAACTCCCATTTGCCCCTTGATTGAGACGTCTCTAGATTCATCAACCATAAGAGTAAAAACTTTATCCCCTAAGTCTTCAAGAATAACTTTGGTAACTTCCACAGAACAAGCATTAGTTAGCTCCTTTTGGATTTTAGGAGATGTCATTAAATTATTCCCGGGAGCATTCTCATTCATTGTTTTGGCAACTTCTTTACTTCTTTGGGTATACCATTGAATTAATTCAAGGAAATTACCTTTATTCAAAGAATTCGAAGACTCATCATGACCACGAAAGGGCAAACCTTGTTTCAAAAGAAAACGTGTTACATCCAAAATCGCTGTTAAACGAATTCGATATGCAGCTTCTATTTCACGCCCTTGAGCACTTAGCAATTGTGATACACTTTGTCTTTGATTTTGAAAACCCTCAAGTTGTACTCTTGCATTATTATGAGCACTATCTACATCACCAACATGTGTATTAAATATTTCAAGTGCTTTCCTCCAATTACTAACCCCCACCTCAGTGAATGCCACTTCCCCAGCCCGACATCCTCTATTTGAATTTTTGAAGAGATAGCACCATAGACAAAAAGCGGCATCTTTTGATATGCTATATTCTAACCATGGATATTTGTCAAACCAAGAGGGTTGAAAACTTCTATAATCGGTCCCATATTTTTTACGAGGATAAACATGCCCAACCGGTTTACAAGGACCCCTAGTTAAGTATTCTCGGCGGACAAGATCTCTACTCAAAGGATCAAAATCATTAATAGGTCTACGTAAACCTGGATCAGCAACCAAATCTTCGGGATTTAGTTTTGTCCTTTTATTTTCTTCAGAAGGACTTTTTGAAGACTTTCCATTCGGTATTAAGAATTTCAACATTCTTAACCTAATAAATTGTACAAGTGTACAACAATAAATTCATATATTAATAATTAATTAGCCTTGATTTATATGTAATCACTACATTCACTATTAAATTAACAACTAATAAGACAATTTAGTTAAAAAATGTATAATGAATTGCCACAATTTTAATTTAAATAAAAAGGGGAAAAATAGAAAAATTGAAAATAGGACTATAGAACTATAGAAGTACCGGTCAAAGTGGCGGGCGACGAAAGAACGGCGGTGTCCGGCGTCCGGCGTCCGGCGTGCTGCGATGTCCGCTGGTCACTTCGTTGGTTGCTTCTTGCTTGAGCTGCACGCAGGGATGGAAGACCGAAGAGTCGAAGACGGAAGACGGAAAGGTGCCTGCTAAATTCTAACTTGGTTTGGGACTTTGGGCAATGGGCTGCAGGCTGCTGGAGTGCTGGTCATTGGGCCTTCCTTGGCCCGATAGGCCTTTTTTTTTCACAGCATAGACCCAATTCACCCAAATTTTTAAAGGTCTGATTTTTTTCAAATCCCTTCTTCCCTGTCCTTCAGCCGGCAACGACGTGAGCAGTCCAGAGTCACAGAGCTCTCCGGAGTCTCCACCTCTCTGACTCCGAGTCTCCGGTAGTCCGGCTCAGCGGCTCTCCGGCGAAGGGGGAAGGGTGCTGGTAATGAAATTGCGGTAGGTGAGCAGGAGCGTCGGAAAACTATACATATATATATACCTAGACTACTCCGGCGAAGGGGGAGCGCCGGCACCGGCTCACCCCCCTGGGTCCGCCGCTGCACAAAATCATGGGTAACTCCTCGGCCCATCTTCCTTGTGCCTTCTCAAGTCGCTTCTTCAAGTTTGCCACAATGATTTTGTTGCTTGATTCGGCCTGCCCATTTGATTGTGGATATCTGGGCGTCGACATCATCAGCTTGATGTTGCATGTCTCATAGAATCGTCTTGTTTTGGAACTGATAAACTGCGAGTCATTGTCACACACAATCTCTGACAGGATACCAAATCGGATCAAGATGTTCCTTTTGATAAAAGATAGGGAGAAGGAGCAATTATACCACTAAGGTAAATCTCTAAGAGTAAATAAGACAATAAGCTAATTTCTGGAGCAATTAGACCACTAAGGTAAACCTTTAAGAGCAAATAAGACATTAAGCTAATTTTAGGAGCAAAAAACACCTTCTTGATGAATTTATTACTCTGTATATATCATCTTCCCATTAATGTTTTTGAGATTAGAATTATAATTAATTATGTTTAATTGAGATACATTTGTTTAATTTTAGGAGCAAAAAACACCTTGTTATAATCATGATTTTATATTATAATTGTAACTATTATAATTAAATTTATTGAGATCAGAATTATAGTTAATATTTAATTGTATTTATAACTGTAATTATAAATATAGTTATAGTTATATATACATTTGCAATTATAATAACTATAATTATAATTATAATTATAGCTATAAACAACAACAACAACTACAACAACAATAATAATAAATATAACAATGTAAACAAGTAAAATAATAATAATAATAATAATAATAACAGCTCGGTGTTTACATTAGTTATAATTCTAATCTCAAAAAAAAATAACGGGAAGATGATATATAGGAGTCATAAATTCACCAAAAAGGTGTTTTTTGCTCCTAAAATTAGCTTAATGTCTTATTTGATCTTAAAGGTTTACCTTATTGGTCTAATTGCTCCAAAAATTACCTTAATGTCTTATTTGGTCTTAGAGGTTTACCCTAGTGGTCTAACTGATCCTTCTCCCTAAAAGATATGACGTGGACGTCTCGAATTTGACGGAAAGGCTCGGCTTCGATTCACTTTGAGAAGTAGTCCGTCATTGCTTACATGTAAACCTTGTGACCGAGTGCTTCGGGCAATTTCCCGACAATATCCATTCCCCATTTCATGAACGGCCACGACGACAATATTGGATGAAGCACCTCTGGATGTTGGTGATGAATGGGTGCGTGCCTTTGACAAGGTAGACATAGTTGGCCAATAATAGCCAAATCTCAGGGCCTTGTTGGACAAGCTTCTGCCTGCGGCATGATTACCACACTCTCCTTCATGGATACTTTTGAGAACATCGTTAACCTCATCTGATGTTAAGCATCTTTGGTACGGACCTGCCATTGAACGCTTACACAACACGTCGTCAATTAGTAAGAATCTTGTTACCTTAGATAGGAGTGCTCTTGCTTCCCGTTTGTCGGTTGGAAGAATGTTGTGCTTCAGGTAATCAATATATGGTTTCATCCAGTTGTTGTCCGCATCTGACTCGATGATGTTGACAGATTTGGATTTGTCGATGGTCGGCTTCATCAGGTGAATGAAGGGTATGTTGTCATTGCTTTCTGCCCCCAGACAGGATCCGACTGCTGCCAGTGCATCTGCCTATGTATTTTCTTCCCTTGGGACTTGTTCAAAAGTGACCTCGTCGAAAGAGATGATTAGTTCCTTGACGACTTGTAGATAAGCCGACATCTTTTGATCTTTAGCTGCATAAATTCCATTAGTTTGATTAATAATTAAGAGGGAATCACATTTTACCTCAAGTATTTTTATGCCCAAATCTTGTGCCAAGTTCAACCCGAAGATCAATGTCTCGTACTCCGCTTCATTGTTTGTTGCGTTGAAGTCACAATGGATGGCCTGACGGATGGTGCTCCCTTGTGGTGACTTCAGCACTACTCCTAAGCCTGCCCCATGCATGTTTGAGGCCCCGTCAGTGTGTAGTACCCATTTCTGTCTAGTTGAGGTTCCCACTAGTGGACAAATTTCCTTCTCGGCATCTACTTGTAGCTTTGGGCTGAAGTCCGCCACAAAATCAGCCAAGCATTGTGACTTTAAGGCTGTCTTTGGTTCATACCGGATGTTGTATGCCCCCAGCTGTATCGACCATTTCACCATCCGACCTTTCAACTTGTTGGAGATATTTTAATTGTGAATCAAGTTTGTCATAGATTAGCTTTATTATTATTCCTTGTATTAAATAAGTGCATGTATTAGATAGAATGTGGGCCAAGTGTTAGGCCCATATAAACAGGCTAAAAGTCTTTCTCGCCTAACCTGAACCTCGCCTATAAAAAGGGAGCCGAGGGTTCAGGATTAGGTTAACGTCGTACTTATTCATTATAGCCTTACGCGCATATCTTTCTGTGTACGAGTTCACGGTCTATCAAAGAGGGTTTTACATTGATTCAATCTGTGTTCATCTTTACGTTTAATCTTCTTTGTTAGATTGTTATTCATTGCTGTTACAGAAACAGGGACTATCAATTGGTATCAGAGCCGATCGAGAGCCGATCAGAAGAACGCCTGCAGAAGACTCTGTTTTTCTTTACGTTGTT